GCTCCTCACATTGGGGACGGTGGACGAATATGCATGAAAAGTGGAGGCAGAAAAAAGACATTCTTGCACAGAGACAAAAGGGATGAAAATATTGGAGGAGTTTGGAAAATGAATAGGCAGACGAGATAACAAGAGCAGTGAGGTAGAAATGGTGACGACCTGTCAGCAGAGAGCTCAGGGCTGCATCCTCTGAATGTGTGTGTATCTTCAAACTGCAGAAACAATGTCACTAAATTATTGTAGAAAAGAGCCACAAAAGTAATTCTTCAGTCTTTCTTTATGTGTGACACAGTTTGTAGATACCCCGTTATGTAAAATCGTCAGATCTGATAGATTTTTGTGCGAAGTCGGTCTATGCGCTCGGCTGTGTTGCATTATGAATAAAGAATTTGGGATGAACCGTTTTATTTGTGATCAAACTGAGCAGAAATAAAAGAGAATTTATTAGGGCGAACTGAGAGGCATTCACCCACAAAAAAATCTCAAACGTGTGTTGTGTCTGTAGCGATTCTGCAGTGCCTTTCGTTATTCAAATGATCATTTTATAGTTCTGACAATGTTTTCTTCAAAGCTTATACCAGTCAGTAAGATTTTAGCTGTCTTGTCTCGTCTTGCAAACTTGACTTCACAGTGCGTTGGATTGCGGTACCTTTAAGGGGGGTAAAAGGGACTTCCAAAGTGGGTCAGAGTGAAAATACCTCAAACAATTATTCATGGGCCCCGCCTTTCCCACCACCTCCACCCTGAGAAAAATCATCTGCATTGCACTGCAGTCTAATGCAATCAATTTTAGGAGATACAAAATGTGAATTGTTTCTGGTATTTGGTGAGTGAGGAGGAAATTTTAGTGTTTTTTTGCTGTCCGCAATGTGAATAAGGAATGAAGGATACAATAGACAATGACAACCTCAAAATTTTAAAAACTACTAATAAAAGCTGCTCAAGTGTTCCCATTGCAAAGATATAGACCAGATGTTTTTTTCCTTACTATTACTACAGAGCAAAAGTCAGACAAAATTATATCAACACACAAAATCTTAACATGATCTGCATTTCATAATAGCAGTAGTTATTCCAAATATCTTACCAGTGTTGCCTCAGAATTAATAAAACCTCCAGGATATAGTGTTGTCATGATGCTACAATTTCAAGCAGAATTTCAATACTAGAGGAAAGGTTCAATACTAAACCAATTTTTATTCCACAGTAATTATAAAAACACTATTTTTAGACAAGTCATTTTCAATACTTAATAGTTATGGTCTTGTATCTTAAATTAAATTAGCCCTTTTTATGACAATTCTTTATGTTCAAATGAGTATCTAGTTTTTACAGATGGGGTGAGACACAATATCCACAAGGTGAGACATAATAACATATAATAACTTAATCTTATAGTCATACGTTTTTGAAATATGACTTTTTAAAATACAACACGCCAGAACTCAACTCTTTTGTCCAAACCAAGTGTAAACACATGGAAAGAAAAATCAAGATCATTTTCCACTTGTGTGCACAACTTTTGACAACTTTATCTTGCAAGATTTTGTGGCAGGAGCTCTCCCATTCCTTTTTTTGTATTTATTTATTACCTCCGCCAAGGAGGTTATGTTTTTGCCGGCGTTTGTCTGTTTGTTTGTTTGTCTTTTAGCAACATAACTCAAAAAGTTATGGACCGATTTTGATGAAATTTTCAGGATTTGTTGGAAATGTGAAAAGGAAGAACTGATTTCATTTTGGGGATGATCCGGAAGAAATCCTGGTTCTGGATCACTTTGAAATTTTAGTTAACATTGTGGTAAATGGGGCCAAAAATTTTGTTTCTCAATATCTCGGTTAATTATTGACCAAACCCCATGAAATTTGACTCAAGGATGGACAATGGGATCCTCTTTCATATTCCAAAGGCTGATCCGGATCTGATCCAGAAGACTGATTTTATCGCAATTTATATAAAAAATGGGGGTAGTCCTTGGCAGAGGTCTGCGCTCTCTGAGTGCTTTTCTAGTTTATATATTTATTCATTTATTTATTTTACAGTTCTGCTAGGATAAGAGAGAGATGATGATCCAGTTAAAAAACTACAGAAAAAATGTTCATGACTACACTAACAAAGACCAAATATAAGATTATATGTGGCTAAATACAATAGAGTCGATCTTTTCCTTTTAGAGACTCCATCCTAATGAGAAAACGAAGCATGTAAGGATGCAGAGTTGCAGAGTCCCTGTAGGTCTGCACTGTAAATCCACACATTAATCAGATTCAGCAGCAAAGATCAAAGCAGTCGGCTACATCTTTACTCTGAGCTGCACTTTGAAGTTTATGTATGAGACACAGAGAGAGAGAGAGTGTTAGAAACGGCCTTGAGAGCTAAACACAATATTGGACCCCTATGTTTGTAAGACATCACATTCTGTGCGTTGACTCCCAACACATTAGTGGTGTATACTGTTGCTTTGTCCCTGACTGAAGTGAGTGTTAAGATCGATGTATGCTTTTGTAACCTGCAGTGATCGTCTGCTGTCACTTACAACACAGCGGATGGCCTGTTGCCCTGGGTGAAGACCTCCATAGTGTGAGAATGAAAAGCGTATGTTTGTATGTAGCATTCTCCTTACAATAATGTGCTTTGACAGTATACAAATAAGTGGTGCACTGTGAGTTCTTTCTGCAGACAGTGGTCAATTTAAAAGACTTTAGTGCCACACAGTGACCATATTATGCCACTACAACTCACTTTATTCATAATATTTGATCTCTGTGTGTTGGAGTTTATAGTTTGTGGCATGACAAAGAAAGTGCACATGCTTTGACCCATAGAAACACACAGATTCAAAACAGGGTGGTGAATAAATGACTGCATAAAACATATTTGTGACCAGATTGTCCCCTAAATGGAGCAGTAAAGATGGAATGCCTACCATCAAGCACGAGATCAATGGAATAGGAGGATCCCTCTACAGATCCTAATTTTCCTTCTTGTTTCAATTAATAGAGTTATTTCAATTACCTCACTTAATACATGATTCACTCAAAATATACCCTATAGCCTACCTCAGATATCAAATGAACCATAGCTCATAGAAACAGTTGTGGATAGTACATTGTTCTTTATTGTGGGAAATCAATAAAAAATCCTTTTCTGCCGCACTGTGGTCTTCTGCTGTCACTGCACCACGCTGCTCACCACACAGCGTGAATTGTATAGTCCTAATAAAGCAAACGTGCTATGGCGCCATTGTATGCGCCAATGCTGTAGTTGCCATGGAGACCAAGAGCAGCCTTTGAAAGCAACATGCTTTTTTGTGTTTTATTTGTGGTGTGTGTTAACAACCCTTTGGTTCTTGCAGTCTCAGTAAGGCCCTTAAGGCTGGGCCCTCCTGAAAACTGATTAGTCTGCAAGTCTCTGAAAACTGTGCTTACGTTAAACATTAGGGACTTGGCTCACACTATATGTAGGCCAAGAAGTAAATATGAGCAGAGCATTTTGTAAAATAAATGTCAACTTTATGTGAATGACATATGTAGTCAAAATAAAAAAAAAAATAAAAAAGATTTTAAAACATGCTACAAGCCAATTGAAAAAAAAAATGATAAAAATACTTTCTCTATATATGTTTTTAATGTGTTTGTGTTTGTGTGTGTGTTTATGTGTGTTAAATCATTAACACACAGTAATTTGGTTTCCAACCCAACACGCTCCATGTATTCAACACGCTGCTAGATGGTGGCTATACTTAAATAAAAAACAAAACACGAGCATACAGAAAACATCTTCATCCTCAAGGTGGCACTGTCAGCTGAAGTGAAATACTATCGCCTTGAGCGGTCCGATTTGTGCTGTGATTGTTTGTGTTGAACAGAGGAGGGCAGTGTAACCCCAGAGTTGGACACAGTGCTTGTAAACCCGGTGGCAGTCTGGACACCTGTTCCTCAGACGCACAAAGCCTTGACTGGCAGCGAATACGTGAGATGTTTGGTGAGTCTTTGAAGGGAGAGCTTGTGTACATTTCATTACCACCATTCGCTATTATTTCTGCTAAAGTAAAACCTGATCAGATCAATAATTTAACAGCATTTCCTTTACAGTTTCGTTATTTGTCATAAGATGCAGGCTAATGGGACAATTGCAATGTATTAGCACAGTAGGCTACAAGAACAGCAGCAAGAGAATAAAGGTGCCCAACATGTCATCAAAATATTATATGCGTGAAAATAAAGATTCAGATACACCTATTCCAACAAATACATATAAAGAATAACATTTACCGGAATAGAAATGATCTACTAATAAAATAAGAATCATTTCGTTAATGGTAGGCCAACATAAGTTTATAACAAACCAAACGTGTCGCCTAATATAATGACCCCTAAAAAAATATCTTGGAAAGAAACTTGTTCTACAGCTTAAACAAGAATGCTTTAACTTTTTATTTGTTTTGCTAGCTGAGACCTTTGGGATATAATCATGGCATTAAATTGACCGTAAACACTAAACTATCGTCAACCAGGCCAAATTATTGACTATTTTAACATAAACTATATTTTAATATACAATACACTGACTTGAGGCATCAAGTGGCTGTTCCTGTAATTGTCATTTTCTCTGGGAGCATCCCTGGAACTTACTGACTCAATTAAAGACCCCTTCTGATTGGTTGGACAAATAATCCCGCAGGGCCTCGTGCTCTATACTAACTCGCGCACCGGGAACCGCGCGAGCCACAATCTGCCCAAGGCGAGGGAGGGCTGGCACAGGGAGGAAAAGAGTGAAGCTGAAGTCTAGAGCGCACGGACACAATCAGACAAGTGTTGTTTAACGTAGGCTATGCGCGCGTCGAGGGGGGAGCGCTGTGCGTAAAGGCTTCATACAAACTCGCTCCTGCTTCAAGAGTCACTGTTAGTGACAGGAAAGTCGTAGAAACAGGGCAACTGTGAGGGAAGTGCAAAAGAAGACAGGGTCAGACGACAAGAGGAGCGCACTTTTCTACAGAAAGATGAATGTCAATGAGGAAAACCTGCTGAAGTCCATTAGCAACGATGCACTGCTGGACCTGACGCAGCGCTACGGCCAGTCCGCTTTCGGCTTTGGTCCTGGCCACGGTACTGGAACTCCGGCCCGTTTTCCGCTGACACCCGCTACAGACTTCATCTCCGGACAGACCACCAAGTCCAACGAGAGCGGCGGGGAACACACGAGTGATGATGACGATGCGTTTGACTCTCTGGAGTCCAGGAAGAGGGGTCCGTCTTTTGGGGACGACAAGCCCGGGGGCCCACTGGCCAAAAAGTCTAAAGAGCAGAGGTCCTTGCGACTCAGCATCAACGCCAGAGAGAGGAGAAGGATGCACGACCTGAATGACGCACTGGACGGCCTGCGCGCGGTTATCCCTTACGCACACAGCCCGTCTGTGAGAAAACTCTCCAAAATAGCCACTCTTCTTTTGGCTAAGAACTATATTCTCATGCAGGCGCAGGCTCTGGAGGAAATGAGACGGCTTGTGGCGTATCTGAACCAGGGCCAGACCATCACGTCCCCAATCCCCACCGCTTTGGCCCCCTTTGGACAAGCAGCCGTCTATCCGTTCTCCAGCTCTGCGCTCGCCACCTGCGCCGAAAAGTGCTCGACTTATTCCGGGACACCTTCAAGTCTCTTCAAACACTGTAACGACAAGCCTTGATTTATTTCCTTTAAACTTATGAACTTTGACCTCTGACACCCATTCAGTCTCTCTCCCACTCTCGTTATTTAAATAGTAAAAAGTTAAGTTTAACAAAATGTATAACTTAGATTATACTGCTATAACTGTTTATAGGCCACAGTTATGTTGCTCTGTCACTTTCAAGAATTTGCAGGTCATGTTTTGAGAAGTTTGTCATTTTAGTAAACTTGAACAGGTTTTGTCATGTTTTGTTGTAACTATGCAACATTCATCCGATCTAAGTCACTTAATTGAATTAGGCTAGGATTTCCCGAACTGGCGATGTACTGAAATTTTAGGATTTTTTTTATTTATTTGTAATTCATCACTGCACACATCTCACATGATTGTATTGTACAACTGTGAACAAGCCCGACTATAACTTATTCAAATGCAGCCTACTGGTTGTGTCACAACATGGATTTCATATATTGTTTATATGTCTTTATAATTAAAATGTATCTATGCCTGAAAACGATTTGTCTCATTTTCGAATTTTCCATTTATCATAGTTTCACCACATTGTATTTCAGACAGATACAGGGGCCACGACGTGTGGTGAACGCGTCATGCGCAAAAGTTTCACATGAACTTTCTTCTTTATTGTCGTGAACAATTGCCAATTTTTCAGTTCATAATATTTTCCATATTAACAATTTACATCTGTACAACTTTGGTCGGCCTACTTTCCGCGCGTGAGAGGTCAAGACGCCTCTGAAGATGCTTGTAGACTGGTGGGACCCGTTTGGCACGCGCTGGGGTCGGTGGTGCTTAGAGGAAAGACGCACGAGACGCCCGGGGCGCACAGGACCTGTCTCTGGGTATTTGGGTGATAGTACGCAGACTTCTTTGGCGCTCTTTAGCCCTGGTCAGCTATTAGCACGATTTCTGCCCTTGTCTGCACGCTCCACTAAATGCAGTGAGCAGGTTTTCATCACTGCAGGTCGCCTGTATTTTGTACATGGCAAAAACTAGAGATGTGGAGAGAATAGACTAGTAACCAGGATATTTTCATTTTTGTCAGGACATCTGTCTTCAGTAGTTTGATGAATACAGTGCTGTAAATTTTTTATATAATTTATATTGTAACTATTTGCAACACTTCCCCAACTGTAATTGAAATATGCATAATCTGAAATTATTTTATTTTATATAAAATGAATGTAACCATTCAGATCTCATGAAAATGAATCAATACTACTACTGCACAGATGAGCAGTCATGGTGATATGCTGAATACATTTGTCAGTCAGTAAGTGACTAAGTTATCAGGTCCCTCTTTAGCTCCCTGTCACAACAGCAGGCGACCGATGGCGTCTTAAATGGGCCCTCTGATGACACATGTCTAGTCGGGGCCCTTGAGATGGCTGGACCAGGGAGGATGAAAAGTGACAAAAGCTGCAGAGGATGTGATGCTCTAGGCCTGAGCTCCATCAGAACAGGAGCACACTAATTGTTACAAATGAGACAGTTGCCTTTTTGCATGGTTGAGCAACTGGGCACTTCACCATAGGCCCCTATACGTCGCACTGATACAGTGTATATGTGCTATTGTGCTGCCTTATTAACCTAATAACCATGACATCGAATAGTGTGCGGTCAGATGGACTTGTATGGTGCTGGTCACCAATTACTAACCAGCAAAAATGTATTCCATAAATCTGATTTGAAGAACAATAGAGCGTCCAAATCTAAGCAATTTGTTTCATTTTTGTTTTTAAGAATGTTTTTAAATTCACATAAATTATATTCTTGAGTATTACACATTTAAAACGTTTCCCATTTTCACACAATTATTTTAAGGAATGCACACATCATATTGAATGCTATTTGTGTATTCATATGGATTTTTTATCATAGACTTTATATACTAAAACTTGTCCTATATGTAATAATTGTTTTATAGTTGATTAATATGCCAATAAGACAAACTGTATTATTATTGTAAGCCTTAAATTAACACGAAAGCCGTGTGCGTGAGACAAATAATGAAATTGGTAGAACACTAATGTCGCCCACTAAAATGACTAATGTGTGTATTCTCTGTGCAGGTTTGTGAGTGTGGACCTTCACAGCAGTTGAGTCCATGCGGTTTGTGCTGGGGCAGTAACAGCGCAGCGTGGTGCAGGAGTCCGCGCCGACTGTGCCATGTCTGTAAACATTTGTGTTTGCTCTCCGTGGGATAGAAAGGGAGTGATTTCATTAGCATGGCTCCCAGCTCTGAGGTATGTGTGTGCGCTTTGCTTGGTATAATACTAAAAACATATGCCCTTAAGTGCGTACCTCTGCCTAATGCTTCTGACAGCGCTGTTTTCTCTAATTAAGTTATGTCTATGTTCAAGCTCACGCATCCGAAACACATTGTAGCACTCCATGTTACAACCAAGACCCCACTCTTTCTACATTTCCAGAGCCTTAAAGCTAAATATGCATGCTTGAATTACTATTATTCAATTTGACCAACGGCTTTATAACCCATTACATATTTAAACTTACTTTTAAAATGCTTTATGTTGTGAGAGCTGAGAGGTGGCAGTTTGGGACAGGTTCACGGTGAAGGGTGACAAACAGCTCTACAATAGTTTATTCATGTATGAGGCTGGTATAACACCGTATTAAGCCACCCATCTCGGAGTGTGCCCGCCGCGCCGATGTAAGGGCGTTCCTTCCAGCCCCACCTTGTCGGAACAATGAGTGGGTGAGTCAGTTGGTTCAGAGGAGCTATGTGATTTGGGGCGACGTTGCTGCAAGTGCACAGAGCTGGGCATAGGCCTTTATTTGTTAATCAGACATCAGAAGGGGGAGGTGGTTGTATCTCTGTGTGTTTTGCCATAGATGAAGTTGCTTGTTTTAGTGCTTCGCTGTGCAAACTTGACAAAGAATTGAGGGTTTTGCGTTCATCACAAAGTACCTGCTATTGAAATGTAAATCCCAAAATCCCACAATCCCAAATTTTCACTCAATGTCATTGCAATTATAATTAAAAATGTTTCTTTTTTTGTCAATATAATTAGATATTAACACAATAAGTATTTTCTTTAACATTGTTGATAATGGGCATTACAATTAATCATGGTAATATTGTTTTTCAGAAGTGAAAAAAAGTAGTGATGTTTTGATACAAGTTTAAGATCTGGAACTGATATTTTTGACTCTAATGTAAAGAAAAATTGTATGGTATGATATGAGGTTAATATACCCAAATAAAAATATTATATGTGATTTTTATTTTATTTTTTAGCAGTGTGTTTTGGAAACACTTCATATTTTCAGAATGGAGAGCTGAAGTATTTCAAGTGTTTTTAACTATACAAATGTAAGGAGAGAATACATTTTGCATTGCAACAGATTTACACTGTGGCACATTAATCTACACTCTTGACTAAAACTGTGCAAAGTAGACCATAGAACAGCATGAGGACAACAGTCTATTTGTGTTGTCTTGAGTTTTGCATTTTAAGTCCTTCTTCAGTGCCCCAGTCCTCATGTGCCCCGTTCTGCTACTCACATTATTTTCTCATTTCCAACAGTTTAACCAACCACCACCCCCAACACCCACCATTCCTCCCCCCAGTTTACCCTCATCACTCTCTCTCTTTGCTTTTAGCTTGTTGTCTTGACAGAGGATCGGAGCTGACAAACCGGGGCATCCGTTACTGTAGCTGGGCGTAATCTCTATAATGGCCTCACAGATAGTGGACTGGTGGTGAGCAAACACACCTCACTGCACTGGGCAAATGGGAACTACCATAAAGGCCTCGGGTCAACAATCAGATCTGTGTTAGGGCTTTGGACAGCTCTGCCTGTCTGTACTGGCTTTGTCAGGGTGGTGCTGGTCTGGCTTGGTCCTGGTTTTGTCTTGGTGTCTATGTTGAGAAAAGTCCGTTGAGTTAAGAATTATACTTTTTACTGTATTCCTGAGTCAGACCTATTTTAGATGCTGTTAGTCCAGTTCAGTTTTTCCGGGCTTCATCATGGTTATGACATTTCATATAGGCAAGTGGTTACAACTAGTTCAGGCCTTGTTTAATCCTGGATTTATTTTTTTGTTTATACTCAGCTTAGTCCAGGCTTATTTCTGGATCACCACTTACTCAGCTTTGGGTTAGTCTTGGGAAACGCCTGTTTAGTGCTTTTACACTCCAGGGTAAAACACTTAAAATATATGCATCATACATCTCAAGGGGGCATCCACCATCTGAACGAATAAAACAGAACATGAACAGATAAATCTGAAACCCTGCCTTAGCTAATTTAAACCTGGTTAGTTCATGGTTACTCCAGATTTAGGCTCACTTTAGCCCATTAATCCTCACTCATTTGCTTGTCCCGTCACTCTCTCTCTCTGACAGTCGCACAACCCTCGCTTGCCCCTCTTCTGTTCGGTACCAGCTGAGGAGGACCGCAGTTTGTGGGGAGCAGGGGGAGCTCGTTATCCTCATTAATTAATGACAAAAGCGATGTAATTGGCCATCCATAATCGTCCATGCGGAGAGGGTGTGACAGGAGGGGCCGGGACCATCCTCCTCTGATGCAAGTGCAACTCATAAACACACACAGTCCTGGCATATTTCATCAAGTGTGTGTCCAGTGATGGGATGGGTTTTGTCAATACCAGGGTTTGTCGTGTTGAATTATACTCTCAAACCGGCTCATTTAAGGCTATGAAAGAAATACTAACAAAGTACTCAAAAAAAAAAAAAAAAAAAACATCCTTAAATATTTCAAATCAAACATTATTTTATTGAGTGAACTTAACTTGGCTTTGTATGTCATAATGGTACAAGCCCCTTTTCTGTCCTGTACCTGTCCAGACTAAAATGTGGTCATGAGTCCATAATGAGAAAGAATGAAAATTACAGTAGAAAGAAATCTCAAATATAAAAAACAATAAAATGTTATCAGTTATGTTTGATCAGTTTATAAAAGCATATTAAAGTTTCAAAACTAAACTTTTTGCTCTATGCATCTATCCAAGG